TATAATGATCCTTACGATACTAAATATTTAGGAGATCCATTCCTAAAAACTGATGCCGTGGAGATTCGCATGCCGTGGTAGAATGTTGAAGTAGCGAAAAGCGTCCTGTTAACCCGCTGGCAAACTTGCGTACATAGGAAGGTATTATCAACCAATTTGATTCCCGACCCACCTTATTTTCTTACAAACATTCCATTACCATAAGGATGAATTTCGCTGAATATATAGGACGTATCCCTGGAATCAAACTCTTTATAATCTGACCAATCATAATAGCCAGGCAGATATTGCCGCCATTCTGTGATTAGTTTGGAGGTTTATACCTCTGATTTTTGTAACAGTGAATATTTTTTTATGATTGAAATGGAACGTTCTTATTTATACTATAAATTACAAAGTTTACCTAAAATTTTTTTTAGACCGAAAAATGCAAACAATTAATATTCGGGCATACGAAGGAAGGTCAATAAGTTCGCGGAATGGAGGGGTTGGTGGAGGTAGGTTTACTCGTCCAGGTAGGCACTAGTTGAGCACCTCATTAAGAGTATATATGACAAGTTTGAACCTAATCGGGTCATTAACTTTTGAGTTATCGACCTGCAAAGAACTGAATCGGGAAGAAGTCAGCCAGTATGGAGAAAATTGAACACCGCGCCGTTATTAAGTTCCTTACCAAGCAAAGAAAATCCGCTCAGATTATTTTCTAAGAGCTGTTGGACTTATATGGACTTATTGGACGCGGACTCTGCCCCTGGTAAAACCATAGTTTACAAGTGGCATGGTCTTTTCAAACAAAGAAGGAGTCCATTGAAGACGACCAACGCGACGGCCAATTGAGGAACCACACCGGAAATCGTCGAAAAAGTAGAAAAACTTGTATTGGAAGTTACCCGGTTGAAAAAGAAGCAGCTGGCAGCAATGATTGGAGTATGCGAAACAAGTATTTTGGATATTCAACATCATCTTGGGATGACTAAGGTCAATGCAAGATGGGTTCCGAGAATGCTCACGCCACTTCAAAAACGCGAGCATGACGAGTGTTGTGGTTGTCGAGAGAGTGATTTATACTGCAGTGTTAAGCATGTCTACAGTGCAGCGAAAATAGTTGTTCCAATACACCACTTATTATTCAAATATGTTATATATGTCACAGTCAGGTCATAAGTATTGTCACACAGTAAAAACTTTTCTTTTAGGATGCTGGCCACAAAAAAGTTTATTGAATTCGAATTTCGAATTGTTCATGAAAATAAAAATGATTACTTTTTAGAATTTTACTCATTTTTAAATATGGAGTGGACGCTTAAAGAAGACCGTGTTGCAGTTATTGCGTTGCATCGTTGCGATTACGCGCCAATTCAATTTTTTAACATACTGAAAAATTTTAATATAACCAAAAGATTCGTTTATCGTACCATCAAACGATAAAATGAAGACTCTAGTGTAGATGACAGATCAAGAAGTGCCCCCCCTCGGTCTGTTAGGACTCCAGCAGTGATAAAGGCTGTGTAGGCGCGAATTCAAAGAAATCCCAAACGTAAGCAGAAACTGTTTGCCCTTCAGATGGGGTTAAGCAGAACCACGGTGAAAAGGGTGTTAAATGAGGACTTAGGGCTTCGGGCATATCAAAGAAAAACAGGACATCGTATGAATGCTCGTCTAATGCACTTGAGACTGAAGAGATGCCGCGCTTTGTTGAAGCGGTACGCGGGGAAAAAATATCGGGAAACTCTTTTTCGGATGTAAAAATTTTTACCGTAGAAGAGAGCTATAACAAACAAAATGATAAGGTGTAAGGACACAGTAGTGAAAAAGCGAGCAACCGTATTCCACGTGTCCAACGAGGTCATTTTCCATCCTCGCTCATGGTATGGTTGGGAGTTTCTTATTGAGCTTAACAGAGGTACATTTTTGTGAGAAAGGTGTAAAAACGAATGCAGTTGTGTATCAAAATACAGTCCTGACGAACCTTGTGGAACCTGTTTCTCATACCATGTTCAATAACAGGCACTGGGTATTCCAACAAGATTTGGCGCCAGCTCATAGAGCGTAGAGCACACAAAATCGACTTCAGCCGGCACGAAGACTGGCCCTCCTCCAGTCCAGATTTGAGTCCGTTAGATTACAAGATATGGCAATACTTGGAGGAAAAGGCGTGATTAAAGCCTCATCCCAATTTGGAGTCACTCAAGACATCCTTGATTAATGCAGCCTCCGATATTGATATGGACCTCGTTCGTGCTGCGATAGACGACAGGCCGCGCAGATCGAAGGCCTGTATTCAAAATTACGGAGGTCATTTTGAGTAAACTTTATTGTTATAAGAATCTATGGTTTGTTAAGTTCATTTTGGTATATAAATGGTTACATAATGAATAAATTTGTTTCAATTTTTTTATATTAAACATGTGACAGAATTTATGACCTGACTAGGTATATAAAAATTTACAGTTTAAATAAATATTTTATTAATAATAGTTTTTTTTTATTTACAATATTAGCAATATACTGCGATTGAAAGGCGCCCATTTTTGCGCCACGGTTAATAGCTGAAAATAGGCAATAACTTAGAAAGATCGTGTTGATGGTAACTAAAAACAATCGATATTTAGAGATGTCTTTTAACATGATAAAGTTCGTGTTTTTCATTTTTCCCCAAAGGTTGACTAGGAGAGAATGCTTTTAGCATTAAGTCCGCCTTTTGCACCAATGTTATATATTTTAGATAAAGCAATTATTATTGCCATTTATTTTATTTTTTTCAAATTTGAAAAAAAAAGTTAAGGTCACATTTTTTTAATAGATAAACTTTCTTATATGTAACATTAGCTGAACACTCCATTTTGATTTTTTTAAATTTCATGCGCTGTAACTGAAATCCAAGGTTTTCATGAATTTATTGCCTCCGGAACTGGACTAGATTTAAATTTTGCTTTTTAATTTTGAAATTGTACCCATAGATTTAAAAATTTGCTTAAGTTTGTCGGAGGGGCGAGCGGGATAGGCAGTTGGCCACGTGGTTCGTCTTGATCCACGCCATCTTGGGTATTCGCTGTTATTTTCCGGAAATAAAACTAGTCTTATAACCAAGCTAATGTTTAATTTAAATCTTTAAATCACTTTACAAAATATATAATGATTGCAAAGGTACAAATGGATTGCTTTGTGACGCGTGGAGAGCTTTGTGTATAGATCATTATGAGAACAGTTCTGTGCTAACGTCCGTTCACTATCGCGGTTCACGTCTGAATGCCCCTTCCAATGAAGCATAGCCCCTTAAATACTACCCTTAGCGTATACCACTCCCAGGTGATGACAGCTGTCACTGTCATTACTTGACGTTTCACAAGGCAATACCACTTGTGGCGGCGACATCTATATGCCCCACATATAGACAACGGATGGAGGAAATCATTACTCACCATCCTCAAGAGATGGCGTTACCTGCACTGCGATCAATAATAGTATGGAAGCCTACATCGCGCAAATGAAATTCGGAGGCTAACTCTTCATATATACGATGCCCGACCAACATCAGTCGGGCCGCGACCCCCGAGCTAACATCACCCAGCTCGGAGGAAGATCTTCCCCTTTGGCCTTCCTACACTGGTGACCCTCGACTGAGCACAGCAGCAGCAAGAAGCAACCTTCAACCATCGCAGCGCAGCCATCAAACCTCATACCCCTTCCTCATCAGGTCAAGCATCAGCAGCCACACAGCAAGCCAGCATCAGCCTCAAGGTTCCATCGCAGCTCTTAACGACTCTTTCTGGGCCTTCGGCAGCACTCGACGGCATCATCCCGACCTGGTCTCCGCCGCCCATGACCGGTACCTCACTTGTCGGCCGCAAGCATATAGCGTGGCAGCCCTGCACACCAGCAGCTCGGACCCACCGTCACACTCCACCTGTCTCGACTCACCGTAGACTGGAGCAACTCTGCAGCACTGGCGACGCGCCTTCACCCCACCCGTCTCGACTCACCGCAGACTGGGGCATCCTGCAGCACACTGGCACTTGCAAGCTCGACTGACGCACTGACTGCTGAAAACACTGACCATCGACCTCCGGTCTCGGAGGGGAGTGATGTGGCGGCGACATCTATATGCCCCACATATAGACAACGGATGGAGGAAATCATTACTCACCATCCTCAAGAGATGGCGTTACCTGCACTGCATCAATAATAGAATGAAGCCTACATCGCGCAAATGAAAGTCGGAATCTTTACTCGACACGATACGCACGCTCAATTGCTCCGCGCTTAACAGCCCCTAACCGTGTTATGATTGTTATTGTTTACGTTTGCTTTGACTGTGCTTTTCCTTTCTTCCTCTGTGCTTGTGTATCACTGACTGTGCTCTGTACTTCTTCTATTCTGTGCTTGTGCAAATAAACTGTTTATTGTTGAGTGCTGGACTTATTGTTTACACCGCCTCCCGACTGCACCGCAGATAAGTACATGCGAACTATTACCTATCTACACCCAACAACGCTATACTGGTGACCCCGACGTTGACTGATGACATTTGTTGTCGGTTTTACGTTGCGATGGAGCGAGTGTGACGTCATCCGCTGACATGTTTTTATTAAAGCTTTTTCTATGTTTCACAAAATCGAAAGAGTCTATGTTAGATGCAGATAATTTGAAAGTTGTTTCGAAATTTAAAGATTATTTCCAATTTTATTACAAAGATTATCTACTGCATTGATACTCGTAACAGAACTGAAATCTCAAGCATCTTTTTATCACTTCAGGAATTTTGTTATTGAACAAAATTCCTTGTTTTCGAAAGGTCTTGAGTATAAATTTGCATTCTTAAAGTTAAATAAATAAATAAATACTCAATTTAATATTTTAGCTGTTTCGACAGTTTCATGCGAATTGTCGGTCGAGTGTGTTAGGAATCAATTTATTCGATAGTACATTAAAAATTAAATAAATTGTAGGAGTCTCACAAACAGTTTACTTCTCTAAAGTATTAAATCGTTTCTTTGCAGAGTTATCAAACAAAGCAATTGGATTCCAATGATGTTCAAAGGAAATTTAGAGGATTTTCACCTTGGAGTGCTTGGAGTTCCTGTTCAAGACGATGTACTACAGTGCGACGCAGGTATGCATAGCACAGAAAATTCCATGATTTATACTAATTCAATTATTTAGTCTTACTATACTTTTATTATATTTTTTAGTCTTACGAATTATTAATTTTATAGCTATTAACGGGATTGTTACCATGTACCTTGTTTTTTATGAGTCTCCGATATTTAACAAGGTACATGGTAACAATCCCGTTAATAGCTATAATGTTAGTGACCATGAAAGTTTAAAACAATAAATTATTAATTGTTATCTAAACCTTGGTAGGATCAGCTAGTTTTAATTGATTGTAATAGGGTTCATTATCGGAAGAATGCCGGAGTTGAAACACTGTTTTATTTAAACCTATCCAAGCACGATCGGAGTTCTTGCATTGTTCGTTATTGCAACGTTTAATAAGCAGACTGCTTTTGTCATAAAGATGAATGGATTGCACAATTCCCCGGGCTTGATATACTTAACTTGTCCATGTTAATCCTAAAAATCAATTTCCTTGAATGGCGGATTTACCTGCATGTAGCCAAGGCCTTTTATCACTCTGGCATTGACTATGCATGGACGCTACAGGTTCTTTCTACCTTAGATTAAAACAAGGGTTATACCTTTTCGTCGACGCGGTGTACTTTGTTTTTTCGTTTGATTTGTCGCCAAGGCAGTACAGATTCAGCTTTCTAGCGATATTTGAGTACGAAGTCGTTTTTAAATTCATTTAAGCGATTTATTTCGCGGCGAGGCCCCATCAAATAAGTTTATACGGATTGTGCTACCAATTTTATTTGTGCAAAATCGTATCTTGATGAAATTTATAAATTAATTTCTTCAAACGATTATAATAACAAATTACAATAAGAATTTATAAATAACTCTATTATATAGAACCTTAATCCAGATTCATCTCCCTATTTTGAAGGAATCTGGGAGAGTTCCAAGTAAATTACACCTCAATAGAGTAGTTGGTAATCGACTGCTTACTGTTGAGGAGATGAATACATTTTTGCCTCAGTTGACGCGGTATTGAATACGCGTCCATTATTGGTGTTATTTTTAATATTCAATCATACAGAAAGAGAGAGTGACTTTCACATTTCTACTAATATTACTTCGTATTTCTGACATGAATATATTATTTACAACTAAATTTGGCAGCTCAGTATTTCTTCATCACGTTCTTTATTGTGAAAACATGAGACTGCCTTTTAGTTTTAAGTTTAGAGAAGCAGACCCATACCATCTTTCCACAGTCTGAAATGTAAAGATTAAAAGATAAAATAACTTTTCAGAACGTCATTGTAATTTCCAATATTTCTAGTTTGCTGGCGATGTACTCAAGGCCACTTGACGCTGCTAATGGTTTAGTTTTATAAAGTGGTTTAGTTCTATAACGGAGCTAACGTGTTTGCCATCAGTAAAACTATATTCTCATAATTTAACTTTAACAGACTTTCAAACAAAAATCGCTTAAGAAGTTCTTGCATTCTTAATTTTTAGTCAACGGAGTGATTAATGAGCTTAATTAATTAGGAGATCAATTTTTAATCATTAATCATTTTGAATTTATTTTCTAGAGATGGTAAATGACAACGTTTTTGTTTACCTATCTGAACATAAAACACGCAGTACCTAAAATAAAGTACGAACTTAAAGTTTTTCTTTTTTATTGAATTACAAGCTGACCTAGGGAATTTCGTACCGCCATAAAAAATAGGGGTTGGTGGTAGAAGGGTGAAAATTTAGGGATTTATGTATTTTTGTATGATGACATCATAAAAAAATAAAAACAAAAAAAAATGTCCAAAAAAAATATTTAAGGGTGGACCACCCTCAACATTTAGGGGGATGAAAAATAGATGTTGTCCGATTCTTAGACCAACTGAATATGCATGTAAAATTTCACGAAACACGGTCGAGCCGTTTCGGAGTAGTTCAATTACGCACACCGTGACACGAGAATTTTATATATTAGATGTTGGTTTAGGATTTACAATTTTACTAGCAATAAGGCCGCCTATATTGTGTACGTTCTATCTATCATATTTTTATTTACTTTTGTGTCTTGTATGGTGTAGCAACAAAGATTATTATTATTATTATACAAGCATAAAACGTGATATGAAATGTTTCATTTAAATCAGTTATATTAGGTTACATCAAAAACAAGATGTAAGTATATATTTAGCTGTGTATTCATTTTAAAAATAATTAAATTAAAATCAAATAATTATTTAAAGGGATATATAGGCATACTATTCGTGTTTTAATGCCTCCAGTCCTTAACAGATGTAATGATTTTCCCCGTTTTTGCTCGATGTTATTAAACAGTTGAATGTCTGATGTTAGGTAATGGTACGGAACCCTTTGTGCACGAGTCTGACTTGCACTTGGCCGGATTTTGTACCCGTAGCTTGCGCAACGTACTCCTGGCCGGTCATCTGGAAAAAAGCTTCACAGAAGTAACCACAAAACGAAAATGGACAAAAACAAAACACTTAACAATTGGCACCAAATAGTTTACAAACACTTAACAATTTCATATTTAGGGAAGGTCTGTGCCCCAGTAGTGACGACATTAAGGCTCAGTTCACTGTGGCCCACAGACGAAGTGACGACGTGACGCGCCATGTTATTCGCCTGTAGCAAATTCTCAATTTTTCCACTGTGAAGTTATTCCCACTTATCCGACGCGCATTGATTGAATACCAGGTTTAAGGTTTTTACCTGTAGCAGATTTATCACTGTTTTCCCACTGTTGGGGTATTTCCAAGGCGTAAAACATGACGCTTCGCGTCGATTTGACTCTGCGCCAGTGTGAGTTGAGCCAAAAGTACTTAATAACTTATTTCAGCCTTGATGAGCCTTTATGTAAGGCTTCAACAGTTAATGCAAGCTTTTGATTATAGTTAGAGCAACCCAGGCTTTTGATTAGAGGTAAAGCAACCCAAATAAACCACACAAAGAAAACGGTTCATGTTACGCGCAATGTGTGCATTGCAGTGTGCTTTCTCGTTAACATTGAAACTAAAAGCTATTGCCAAACACACCACATTCAATATTTTGTTTCCTTTTTTTTATTTAGGTAAAGGTGACATAAAAAAAACGACGAAGGTTGACTGGCAGAGAATGCTTTTACCGTTAAGTCCGCCTTTTGTCCATTTTATGTAATTGTGACAATAAAGTTTAAATAAATATATAATAAAACAATAATAATATTTTCACTGGGGTGATATCACCGTATGACGCTATAGCGTCATATCACAAAATTTAGACTTAATAGGAGACGGTTCAAACTTGTGTGGTGGGTGTCAAAATTTTAATGAGATGTAGTGCACTTAATTGTAAGGTGTTAGACAAAAAACTAGAATTTATTTTAACTCTGTCCTTCTAAAATAATTTATATTTTAAAAAATAATATTAATAGGCAAACTGCAAGTTTATTCATCTATTTTTTGTTGTCAAAGCATCAAATATATTCTATTCAATAGCTAACTAAAGCAGTGTTAATTGTTCTGTTCATATTTCATTACATTATTAGGTATTTTGTGGCTATTTTATTTGAAGAAGATTCAATCATAAATTGATATAATAAGATTACTACGATTTTACAAACATAGTGCTTGACTGGACTGATTGACATTTGCCATAGTGATTAAGGTGACGCTATAAGCTGCCACACACTAAAAATATGACGTTGCGACAGGGTGGCAAGCATCCTTACAAAATTGTTCATTTTTTAGACGATTCAAAATTAATCGGGCATATAAAAAAAAAAAAAAAGAATCTGTTCATGTTTTATAATATAAGAAAAGCTTTCAAATGATATATGTTTCATCACTGTCGGAAACCGACTACCACTTTTGAACCATCTCCTTTTGTTTACATTATCAATGAAATTTTGAACGATATGATTATTGATTCCAATGATTAATTATCATGCAGTTGATAAATGAATTGATACAGGTGTCCCAATTTTTATCCACATGGAGGGGAGACTCTCCGAGTCAAATAGTGTAGACAGAAAGTTTTGCTGAAAGAAGACTCAATTTTTTACTTTCCCTCGATGTGGCAAAGTTTTGGGTCAACCTGTATATTGCTATGTAAAACAATCTAATCGATTCGTAGCTTTGGACCGCGCTTACATCTATGGTATGGTCTGGTGGGATACGAAAAATACTGCACGTACGTGAGCAGCCATAAAATAAAATTGGTATTCCAAACATGTGCTTTCCAGGTATCACAACTAGTCGCGCTAACGTTACATTAATATAATTCAGCACAAAATTTAAATCGCGGCTTTGTGCACCCCAGGGTTTACTGTGATTCGTGACTGCGCATATCAAAAAAGTTTTAAATTGCGAGACTAAAATAAAAGTGTTCACATTGAGTACGGTATGGCTCTAAAATCCAATATCATCATCAGTCATGACACTTCATTTTGAAATCGGGAGCTTATTCTAAGTTCGTTGGCAAATATAACAACCATTATCTTCCAAAATCGCGTTGATCGTTCTATAGGCGCTTTTATGAAAAAAAGTAATCCATCAACCTTTTTATTGAGAGACTCGAATATACTAACAAAAATATTAAAGAGCTGTAAAAACCGCTCGTTGAATTTTTATCTTTACGAATTATAAATTATTTCGGATTACATTATGTTCTGACGACTTTTACTGGATGGAGTTTATCTTTATAAAATTTTATAAACATATTTAAAATATACCTACGCTTCTTTTCCGGAATATAGATAAATGAATTTCTAATAGTTTTTAAAGTGTGATGAGTAGTTTCTTAAACCGCTACATTTGTTTAGGATCTTCCTTATAATGACTAACTCTTATTTGATTCAATGTTTGTGTTATAATCATTAAATATCCTCTCTGCTGAGTCAGACAAAAGTTTATTTAAAATTATTATTTAACTAAAAAGTTTCATTGTTATCTAACTTTAATTGCCATAGTATTAATTTGGGAGTTGCCAAACTAAATCGAGCTCAATACTATGGAAAATGATGAACATACC